AAGAGGACTAAATTCTCTACAATTTATTCAGTAACAGCATATATCTACCACCTACCCTCTAATCGGGGTGGCGTTCTAAAGTTGAATGACCTTGAAAAAAGATGTTTTGGAAATTATTATTTTTTACTGAACAGTAAAGCGAATCCACCACAAACCATACAGCAAATACTCATAAATAATTGGCCGATTTTTTGGTATGTCTTCTTTAAAAATATTCACCTCTTTTAGATATACGGGGTGTTGAAATTTAAACAACCCCCTTTCATTCATCTGAAGGGCTAATGCTAGGCTGTTCACATTTTCAGGGATTATTGATGTAGGAATGATATTGAAAAATTCGTATAATGCACCTCTTTTCTACCTGGAACCACACCAAAAAAAATAAAAAAAAATTGAACAAAATGCCTTTTTTTAATTTTCGCGCACGCAATGCCCTTCATGTGAATGGTTTAAATATTATTTTGTGCACACCTCCGACATACACGCATAGACACCAAAAGCAACCACTCTTGCGATTAGTTCGTTACCTATGCATTGTATGGGAACGAAATTTATACGAAATTGAAGACCACCATATGCTCTACAAATAAGGTCTTGATGTATTTTTTTTATATTCGAAATCGTTACGCTGCAGTGGCGTAGCAAAGTTCAGCGATTTATTATATGAAATTTACCATTCAGGTTATGTACTGTTAGGTACTTCAATTTTAAGTATTTACCCAGACCATCTATATTATTCCATAATATTAAATTTGCCCCTCAGGCTATTTATTGTTACTTCAACTTTAATTATTGATCTATATTTCTTTTATAACTATCCCATAAATACATGCTGCACTGAATACAGGAAATACTTGTACACTGGGGTTAAATGGCCATTTACGAAGGTACTGCATTTAGTAAGCTTATTCATTAATTTATATTTCAGGTATTATTGCTGTTAATTGTTATACTTTTTATTTCTTTATTTAGGGACTCAAGTTGAGTGTAATTAATCATTATTGTAAATACTATTTTAAGAACATATGGTTAGATACTTCTAGACGATTTCTTTTCTTGTTCTGGTTCCAGTGTAAATAATTTTCAGTGTTCTAGGGCGGTCGGAAAACCCACACCGAACCTGCTCTGGAATCAAACCTGTCTTCTGGTTCTAATTAAAACCCGTACCTGATTGTAGCAAAGCGTTTTACTTATTTGCTTCCTTCTTGTTTACGTTTATATTTCAGGTTGTGCTGCTATAGGTCCGTAGAAGTTTCCTGCTTTCGTCATATCGGTTGATTTCGTGTACTGCAGGGAAAAAGCAGGTCGTGGCGCTCTATATTTAGTTATTTAACCCCTCTCCGCATTGGAAGCTAGTCGGCAACCCTTTACACGAAATCACGTTTCTAGATTTCAGCCACCAACCAACCCTCTCTTTCTATATTTTTTTTTTGTCTTAGTTACCGGTTCACTTCAGTCACTCCCTCAAAGTTCATTATTTACTTCTCCCTCGCGTTCTGCGGGTAACAAAGTGGCAGTGTCCGTTTTGCCACGTAACAATTATCTGAGTAGATATGGTCTTGATAGATTTTCAAGTAGAATTAAAGAAGGAATAGATAATTTTGGTCTTCATAGGAATACAAATTTGAAATTTATAGAGTTTAATAATAAAGAACTTGAAGTAACTATACATTTGACTACTTGTGGGGCCGATCAGCAGCCTGAGCGGGCTTTTTTATAGATAGGTTTAATAAACGATGCAGCAATGAAAGGCTGTCGCGGAGTAAGGGTAAGAATATTAAGAGTAAGGATACAGAATGTGATCTTCTGTATCTTAATTCAAGTAGTACAATTGCTAATTTTGATCAGATCCATGCCCTAGTTCTGGACTTGGATCCTAAAATTATTTTTTTATCTGAAAAAAAGATGATGAAGTCAGTATAGATGGATATAGATTGGTGAGACTAGACAGTTCAAGCCGATCGACAGGTGGTGTACAAATTTATTTAAAGAACTTTATTAAAATATTATCAATAAGCAGAGTTAAGTTTGAAAAGAAGTATTGGGTATTAGGAGTTAAGATAGAAGTTAGTAACAAAAACTTGTATGTAGTTTGTCTATATCGATCCCCGAGCTGTAGTGAGAACGTTTTTTTGAATTTTTTTGAAGAATGGAGTCATGATTCTGTATGTGATAATAACATACCAACTGTAATACTGGGAGATTTTAATATTGACATGTTGAAGCCAGATAATACATATACGCAGCGTCTTACTAATATCTCACATGATATAGGATTCCAACAACAAATTAAGGAAATAACAAGGCCAAATAGAGACAGTGGTACATGTATTGATTTGTTGTTTACAAATTTTCTGGATCTGATTCCTAAAGTAAAACATGCCCTAAGAGTGAGTGATCATTATTATATATGTGTCAATGCTGGAATATTGCAATCACAAAATAAGATTCCACATTTTATTTCGACTAGAGGGAAAAATATAAATTATGATTTAATTAGGGAGAACCTAAAATTGGTTGATTGGCACTTTAATATAAATAATATAGATGACAAGTGTAAGTTCTTTGTGTCAACAGTTTATCGGGCCTTGAATACTATAGCACCATTAAAACAGGTTACAATTTTATCACGAAATAAACCATGGTGGAATGAAAATGTCAAAAAAGCAGCAGAACTAAGGGATAAAAGTTATAAGATTTACAAATTGCTCAAGAGTGAAGATGCACATAGATTGTATAGAGATAAGCGAAATCAAGTAGTTAAAACTATCAAAGAAGAGAAAATAAAGTACTATGAGCAAAAAGTGGATGGATGTAAACGGGATCCTAGGGCAATGTGGAATGTATTGGGAGAGATTTTACCAAAGATGCAAACATTGATAAAATAGAGATGGAAGGAGAAATAATAATGGATAAAAACAGTCTGCCTGAAATACTAAACAGATTTTATGTAGACAGATAGATTCCATAATTGAACAAATTAAACCTGATTCAGGGAATACGGATACCTTGGGTGACTTCACAAAAAATAATGCAGACTTTAGCTCGTTCAGATTAATAGATTCTGATTCCCTGTTTAAAATTGTTATGTCATTGAAAAACAAAAATAGTCCCGATGACTTGAATGTAACATTAATAAGGAATATATATCCGTCTCTTGAAGCACCCCTGATTAATTTAATAAATAGTTCACTGGAACAAGGAAAGTTTCCAGATCCTCTAAAGCTCGCTACAATAATACCAGTTCAAAAAAAACTTAACTTAATAGAAGCATCTAATTTTCGACCCATTTATACACTTCCTGTCATCGAGAAAATAATTGAAAAAGTTGTATATGATCAGCTTCTCGAATTTTTAAACACACATAATACTATAACTGAGAAGCAGTCAGGCTTCAGAAATGGTCACAGCTGTGAAACTGCAATACAGTACATTCTGGATGAATTTAAAATAAAATATGACCAGGGTTTCAATGTGCTAGCGGTTTTTCTGGACTTACAGAGAGCCTTTGAGACGGTCGATCGGCACAGATTACTTAAGAAACTAGAAAAAATTGGAATTGGGGATGTGGTGTTGAGATGGTTTGGAGACTATCTAACATCAAGAAGACAATTAACTAGACTGAATGGAATTCAATAGAGATAGTTAACGAGCATGGTGTACCGCAGGGAAGTGTTTTGGGTCCACTATTGTTCATTATTTATATAAACGATCTGCCAGATGTAATACATGATATTGAATTGCATAACTTCGCCGATGATAGTCTATTCTACGCCTTTTCAAAAGATTTGGATTTGTTGGTGGAAACTGTTAATAATACCCTAAATAAAATGGACAATTATGCATCAACGAATCTTTTGAAGATTAATGTTAGTAAAACTAAATTTATGTTTATTGGTACACATAATAACAGAAGTCTTTTTAATATGAACAACTATTCAATTAAAATGGGTAACAATAAGTTGGAAGAAGTTCAAAAGATTAAGTATCTTGGGGTAATTCTTGATAACAAATTAAAATTTAAAGATCACTGCAACATTCTGGTTTCTAAAATTAGTTTTAAGACAAATTATCTTAGGCGCTGTTCAGCATCTCTCTCAACTTGGTCTAGAATTGTTGTTTTTAACACTATAGTTTTGCCACACTTTAATTATTGCGCAACAATACTTTATTTACTTAACCAGAATGATATCCAAAGACTGCAAAAGTTGCAAAATAGATGTATGAGAATCATACTCTCATGAAACAAATATACTCCTATAAAAAGTATGCTTAGATTGCTTCAGTGGCTTCCAGTTGTGGAATATGCAAAATATAATGTACTGGTGTTTATTTTTAAAATTAAAATTGGACTTGCTCCATTGTATCTTACAAGAAAAATAGTTTACAGTGGCCAGATGCATGATCACAACACTAGACAACAGAACAACTTCTATATACCACATAGATGTGGGGCATCAGCAACAAGATCGGTATTCTTTAAGGGTATGAATGAGTTTAATCAGCTACCGGATGAAATAAAGTCATGTGTTACTATTAGCAATTTCAAAAGAAAATTAAAAGTTCATCTGCTGACTCAATGTGATATATATGTTCCAGATTAAAGCACAAATGAGTAGCTTATTCTTGTTGATCTGAGTTTTGTTGATTTGAGTTTCTTTTGTTTTGCGGTCTCTTGATCTTGTATTTTGTGAAGTGAAAAACGAATGATTGTCATTTGTATTTTGAATTTAAATTACATTTTGTCTTTCATGTTGTTTCGGTTTGTCTCCTTTAATGTTTCTTTTCGTAGTTCTGAATTGTTCGTTGTTTTTTTTTAATTGTTTACTTTAATTGACACTATACACTAATTATAATTTTTGTGAATTTATATATGTAAGTTGCACGATTAGCTATTGCTAAATAAACAAAATAAATAAATAAAAACAATTTTAGAAATATTACATGTAGCATAGGCAAAATTATATTGACTAGATACTTCTCTAGCTTAACTGAAGTCTTTATTGAAGCAGAGCCCGCTTCGGTGAACAAGCTGTACTGCCGTCAAAGCAAAAACTCCTAGAGAGTCATTAAACCATTAATCCATAAGAGTAACAAATGAATTCCAGGAACAGAAGGAGGAATAGAAAAAAAAACCTTCAAATACAAAGTAGTCTTAGCATCCTAGAATGATACAGATAGTTTTAATATAGCTTACCTTGAAGGATCGTTTTCTTCTCCTTGATACAAGATTGCAGCAGCCAGTAATCTGTGGTCAGCTAGTGGTCTTTCTGGTGAGGCTGTGACTAAATTTAAATCCTCAGAAGTTCTTTGTGGAGACTGGCCACCGATGCACGTGATGACACCAAAATACCCACATTTGAAAACAAAAAAACTATACATATATGAAAGAGCAAACTTTTAATCCTCCAATAAAGAGTGCAGTGATTCCGCAAAAATTTAAACAGGAAATGTCCATTATTGCAGTACCGAGGTATACTGCCCTACAGGGTTCCAGAGCCTTTAAATCCAAATACCGAAATCCAACTCAACAAATAACACAAAATGGAGAGTCTGGGTCCGAGTTTCCAGAATGAGGAAACTGGAAAGGCGGCCATAATTACAATGATTCTTCCTTTTCAATCATACTACAGAAAATCCCTTTTAAAAAATAACACATTCCATATTTCACAACATAACCGACAAATTATGCATTGACCATGCAGCTGCAACAGAAACCACTCGAGGACACAAAATAAATCGCTTTGAACTCGGAATACTACTTCTAAGTCCCAAGAAAACCGGCACGCATTCGACCGAAAATCAGACAGACAGAAGAAATCAAAACAATCAATCAAAACAAAACAAATCAAAACAGCTGATAGATATTGAACTTGAAAATTGTTGATAATGGGCATTGATTTCCTTACAAAACCTAAGAGATAAAATAATTATTGTCGTACACAGTTAAGACAGATTTATATCGGTTCTTCAAAAAAAAAAAAACAATCAAAGATTGCTTTGGTTACGAAAACGTACGTCGCATTATTGTTTTTTTATTGGTCAGGATTTTTGACATGACATTTTGACATTAAATTTCATTGACCGACATTGTCAAAATTAAAGAAAAATATTGCTAAGACGTACGTTTAGAAAACCATAGCAATCTTTGATTGGTTTTTTTTTTGAAGACCCGATATATTTATGCAAGCCTGTTTGATCTGCCAAAGCCAAGATCTCAATAAATATGAAATATGAAAAAAATAATAAGTGACAAATGTTAACCTGTTGCTTTACTAAAAATTGGAATAAACATCAAAGCAGAGTATATTGCGAAATACAGTTGCGTAAAACAAAAATGTGACGTTACAAAAGAAAGCGCACATTGAAGACACATGCGACGCCGCCCACGCAGGGCAGCAAAAACGAGTTTAGCCTTCCAAAGTTCCAAAAACTACCTCATAGTCGGTAGTCCAATCATAAATAGCTTTTTCTTCAGTAAGTTTATGCAACTCTCTTAGCAAATCCTTCTACAAATCGTCTGTAATATGTACAAAGCCTAAGGAAACTTCTGAGTTCATGTGTGTCCCGAGGTCGCGGCCGTACACGAATTGCTTGGATTTTTCTCTCGTCAGTATGAATTCCTTCGGGTGAAACTACGTGGTCAAGAAAATCAACTCGCTGTTAGAAGAGTGAACATTTTCGTCGATGCATTTTCGTAACAAATTCGTATTATATTCTGGAATATGTAGCCGGTTTTGTGGAACCATGCTTTTTTAGTGAAAAATGTTAATGCAACAAGTGTGTTTTATCGTTTAGATTGTCCATGAACCATCGGCAATAAGAGTGCAAAGGAGCAGATCTTGGGAGTTCAACTCTTGCACTGCTGTCATCCTATATGCATGGAAGTATAGATTTTTTTTTTGGTATAGCAGGTCTCCAAGTAGCTTCCAACTTGTTGGGTGAGATAGCGAAGATTTTTTTTGTTGGATTTCTCATCACCTCCTTAGCTAGATCAAAATTTTCTGTAATACGAGCTGCCATGGCCACTGTCACGTTTCACGTGCCACGCTTAACGTTTCCCGGAACAATTGCACATATCTCTCCAAGAGATTCTTGGAAATTTTTATGGGGGAATTCCTCCAGGGTCCTTATTCTTGATTTGAGAGAAAATTGTACTCCCCGGGGAGCTCCCTGATTTTTTTACTCCTTCATCATTTCTCTCGATTTCAAAAAGCTGTATTCTTGAAAATAGTGACTAGGAAGTAGTGAGAGAAATAGCGAACACTGCTGCCAGATTTTAGTACAAAATTCTGACCAATAACAAATGATGAAAATTGTCCACTGACAGCTTTTTGACAAATGCACTTTTTGTTGTTGTAAATTATTAAGCTTTTTAAATTTATGTGTGGCTTATCTGACAATTCTTAGGTAGGCCATATACGCGAATATACCACAAGTGTGCAGTGGGTATAGTGGGTGAGAAAACCCTCCCTTTATTTAGATTATTTCAAAGGTGAGTTTATAGTGTTTATGCATTTATACTATAGGTACTAATAAATACCAACATTCAATGCTTTTCGGAAAGTAGGAGTTTAGAACAAGAATAGCGCACACACACACATGAAACAAGAACAAAAGGAAAACATGTGGAATTTCATCAAAGCCAGACCAAAATCATTTGCTGCAAACTTTTCACCCGATTTTACAATGGCACGCTCAAGAGCTTTATGGCAAGAGCTTGCGACCATTCTAAATGCTCATCCCAATGGAGCCCTAAAAGTGGAATGCTTGGTGCAAGGGTACTTTCCATAAAATTTGGTCAAAATATGCTTTGGAACCTTTTCCTCATTTTTTTGTGTGTTAGACCTAGATCGACATAAAAAAAATAGCAAATCAAAATTGGCTAGAGAAAAAAAAAATACCAAAAAGGTACAGGAGGGGGGCCTCCTGAACCAGTTACTACAGATAATGTTGACACTAAAGTTATGGAGCTTACAAGTCCAGTGTGTATTACAGGCAATATGGAGGTGCCTGAGCCAGGAATCATCCTTGATGAAGAGGTAATATTTGATGAGATGTTCCCTGCCAAAAATCTACCAGCAATGGTAGGATCTGTACCAAATATAAAGGTGAACATTGTTTGAGACATGGTTGTGAAATACATTATTATTAGAAACCTTTACAAGAACTTAAACCTTTTGCTTGCTTGGTATCAACAGCTACGTAATAAACATCTTTGTCTTACAGCCTGACCATGTCTGCATCACACCTCCAGCAAAAGCAAATGAAATAGATTTTCCCACTGAGCTTGAGAAAAATGAAACTGAAAATACAAGGAAGAATCTTGCTCTTGAAATAAAGAATCATGCTATACCCAGAAGCAAACCCAGAGTGACAAAAACCATGAGACTGAATGAATCTATCAAAAACCACAGTAAAATGGTGAACATTTTAGGACATGCTCAAAATGGAACAGATACACACCGCTCTGGAAAAAATCAAGTTTTGAAAGAGCAACGAGATGAGCTAAGAAAACAAACCCATATAATGGAGGATAATATTTCTGTTTCTTTACTTAACATTGTAGATATCATGAGAGAATTGAGAAGTTGCTGGATAAAACATTGTTGGATAAACACTTGTTGGATAAACAATGTTGGATAAACACTTGTTGGATAAAACATTGTATGCCACTCGTGTGTTATGTTTCGTAAGTCACTTGAGAATTTATATATATATAAATCTTTCTCGCGTGACTTATTTTCAACATAACACACTAGTACCATAAATAGAATCCATTGTCCAAAAAAAAAACACTCACTTTCATTTTAAAAAAAACTTCTCCGTCAATTTTTTAACGTTTTGTTGTTTATTTATCTTTATTTCCATTCCCATTATCATTTTCTCTTACTTGGGACCTGTAGAAAATGAAATACCCTTAGGGAGAAATCTGTCTATCAATTCATGAGAGAAATTTTTTCAAAAATACAGTATTTTCAATTCTAGAAAGACACTCCCACTTTCTCTCACGTTTTCTACTCCCTAAGATTCAAGAATAAGGCGCCAGATAGGTAGTCATTACGAGCTGAATAAACTGATTAGGTTCACACCCCATTAAGTTTTGTGCCATTACGCAAATAGGCTTCCTCCATAAATGATCGTTCTCTCAAAATCTAGAAGAGAAGAACTAAAATGCGGGACTAAATCCAGCAAAAACAAAGTCACCCAAAAACGCTCTCTCAAAAAAATACATGCATGACATCAAACAGTCAAAGCGTGCCATAACTTTTATGTAACGGTCATACTGTAATATTTAGAAAATTTGCCCAAATAAAGAATAATATAATTAGTACTTAATAATTATTTACATTACAAGTGTGTTTATGAGTATGGTTACAATAACGAGTATGAAAGATTAGACCGACGAGGTCGTAGACCGAGTCGTTCTAATTACACGAGTTTTAAACTCATGTTTAAGCGCACGTGTGATGTACAACGTTTTATCAACAAAGCGAAAAATTAGAAAATATTTTTTTAATTATTTTCATTTATTAGTAGTTGTATACCTCAATTTTACTTTTACAGGTTTAACTTTGACATTTGTCAAATCACGAAAAATAGTTGTGTTATATATTCATAACCTTGTCCATAACACCACTAGTTGGGCTATGAGTCTCATGACATAATTCAAATACTAGAAAAATGGTTATGTAAAAGCCAAACGCTTGTAGAGGTACACTTTCCCTGTAACATTATCACCAATTTCAAGTTTCAGAGACCTACTACCTCCATAATATTGTTTTTGCAACTTTTCTTTATCCAACACTAATTTTCACATCCGATGCAACTTCACTATCTTAACTTGGCAATAAATTATCCAATCTGGTACGCACTTTCCTATTAAACATTAATTTAGATGGTGCGACTCCAGTTGTGATGTGTGGTGTGTTCCGAAAATCAAACAAAAATTACATACTCCACACTGATTAAACGTTAACGCTAACTCATCAGAAGATGTGTTACGTTAACTAACAGCAGATGAGTTAACAGCCGCTTTAACATGCAACCTTAAAGTCGGTATGATTGAACGGGTTCCGTTCGGCCTCCTGTTGAAAAAGAAATAATTTTCGGGTCAACAAAGTTCTGACCAATCGCACTCGGTTGGTTGTCGTCGCCAGTGTAAAATTTTTGAAGAAGGCGCCCCTGATCGGTTACAATAACCTATACCTTTTTTTTTTCGTTTTGTTTGAGCCTGAAAAACAAAAAAATAATCTATGAATTTATTTCACAGATTATTCCACTCATGTGTTAGAAATCCCATAAGACAAGTGACGATTTTCAGAATTACAGCGATTATACAACTCACTGTACATTATTCCCATATGACACGAG